ACATGGATACCATATATTGATCTATATTTCTATTGAGTGACCTCTAAAATCAAGGCAAACTACATTTCTAGAAACAAAAGCGTACCCTTAATCCTAATCAATCATCTTAAAAGTGGTAAAAAAGCAAGCAAGCATATGCATGCATCATATATAGCTCAAGAAACCAAAAGAAACATTATGATCATCTTCACCATGTCTCCTCTTTTCCGGTGAATATCTAGATTTTATAACAGAAAAGTAGAGTTTTTTTTTTTCTAAACAAATTCTAAAAGCAAAGTGATCTTCTAAAGGTCTAACTTGTTCTTATCTGGTTACTCAAATACTTTATCATAGTACTCCATGCGAAAACTTTATCGATCTCAAAAAATAAATAAAAAGCAAAATTTAAGATTGCAAATGATTTATGTCAAGGGACATCTAATTAAAATGCAAGAAAGAAAGAAATAAAAAAAAAACCTTGGTTCTCCTTATCTCCAAGCCAAGGCTCTATGAAGCTCTATATATGATGGAAACCTAAAAGCGCAAAAGAGTCTAAGTTGTTCTTGGGGTGACTAATTAAAAACGTAAAATTCAACTTGAGATTGAAATTAAAGAAGAACTAATTAACATCCAAAAATATTCAGGAACAAAAATAAACGGAAAACAATGTATATGCGCTAACTAATTAATCTACCTCTAATACATGCAACTACTAATTAATTAACCCACAATATTACTACTATTGTCATTGGCTACGGCTTGCAGTTCTCCTCTAGCTTTCTTCGCCTTCGGCATGATATCGTCCTCGTCAACCTCGCACACCACCACGCTGTAGAAAATTTCTTTACAACCCAAAACCAACTGATCACTGGAGCTCCTTTGATTTCTACGGCGCTTCGGCGCAGGCGGGCACTTGAGCGCCTCAGGAATCCTATGACACGGCGACGTTGGAGTATGATATCCATCATCGTCGTCATCGTCACCGTCGTCGTTATCGCCGTGATCATGAGCACCGCTCGCAGTAGTTTGCTTGCAAGCATTTTCGCTGTTCTCGCTTTCGAGTTTGCTTTCTTTCTTGATCACCCTCTCTTCTTCTTCCTCGTCGTCGTCATCATCATCTTCTTCTTCTTCTGATTTTCGATCTTTTTCCGAACTTTTTAGAAAGACTACCAACTTTGGTGTGGGTATATAATGAGGGCTCGACATGGTAAACGAGGAAATCTTGTCAAGTTGAGAGGAGTACATGAAGATAAACAAAAAAAAAAAAAAAAAAGGGGAGGTTTTTGGGAAGAAGAAGGAGAAAGTTTTGAGTAAGAAGCTAAGCTTATCAATTAACCCTGTATGCTTCTATTTATCGAGTAGTTTGGTAACTTTGGTTTGTTTGTTTTTTTACTTTATTGGGATCTACAGTGGGCTCACTAGCCGAATAATGATGCTGGAGTATTTTTTTTATTATTTTTATGGAGTGGTAGGTTTTGTGATGATTAATAATTTTTATTTGATAATTAATGGTTATAGGCTATCTTAGGACTGCACCTAATCCATTTAAGTTTGGGTTAATGATTTTCATTACCTAACTACAATAAAAGTGCGTTAGGGGACAAATGAATAAAGAGGATGTTTGTTGAGACGTATGTGATTCTCCAAGATTGAAGCAAGCGTATCAATGAAATTTTGAATAATTATAAGATGTTGTCATAATATTTACCTTCTTTCCCAAAATCAATCTATCAAATAAAATATTCACTAATTCCACAATTATATTTTGTTATGTAAGTAAAAAAGAACCAATTAAACCACAATTAAAGCATTAATATGCATAGAAGAATATCAAAATAAAGCTTAGAAGCAAGAAGGAATGAAGAATTTAGAATGGGCAACAATGTAAACTTAAAGAGGTAGGTCCCCAAATGTCAGTCCTTCAGTAGTCAAATAGAGTCTCGTATCTCTAATATAATATTTATTTCTTTGGTTGTATTTGCTAATCTTTCCCATTTACCCCTCAACAAGTTTTAGTTCCGACCCCACAATTATATATTTACTACTCAGGTGGCTTATATTCTTTAAAAAAAAATAATAGAATCATATCTAAACGTACACATGATATATTGTAATGGTGAATGGATCTATTGCGTAAATCTAGATAAATAGTAATCATATGACTAACTGAACTTATCAGATTTAGTAGAAGATCCTCAGATTTATTTTATAACAGCAAGTTGAAGACAAAGAAAAGAAAAATAAACCAATAATTTTGTGTCATTAATGCCACCAATAGAGGTCTTGTCAAATTATTGAATTGTTATTATGTCATCTCAAATTTTGTCTATGTCATGTTGCAGTACGCCCCTTACTATCTTATTAATCATCATTCAACCACCACACTTTATTTAATTCATGCATCTTAACTTACGTTTGTAATTAGATTGCTGGTATACACTTAAAAAGAAAAATTATATATGGTGCTCGTCATCCTTCTCACATTAAAGTGAACAATATCTCACATTAAAGTGAACAATAATGAAACAGTACCAATTTGCAAGAGTTCAAGGATAGAAAGTATAGACTCAAGAACAAGCATGATGCTCACTTTCTCATCAAATGCATCACAACTCCTCTCTTTGACTGATCATCAAATCACAGAAAGTCAAAATGGTCCTCAATCTTATGCTTTATTATTATTATTAATTACATATACATTTCTTGTACTAGTTTGTTTTTTTTAATTACATATAGGTATATTTTATTAGACCACCCAATGCCTGCGCAGAATTACTTTTCTATTATCTCTACATATATGGTATAGAAAGGTACGCTTAACACTTATAAGAGAATTATGAGTCTCTTTCCAACTCAGCGGCGGAATATCAAAGGATCTCTTTGCAACACACTGTAACAACCACATGAATGATACACAAAAACAAAGAGGTAAACTTCATTTGGACATCAGACGTTTAAGTGCTAACCTCAAGAGGCTGTATTACTAACGTGAATCAATTAAGTTTCTAACTTTTTCGAAAATTAGTACCCAAAGCTCTCATTATCTAATTACACAAGGATAGCATGGATGCTGCATCCTCAACAAGTAAAAAAAAAAAAAAAAAATTGCATGATACATGTTTTGTTGAGAGGCCATACACCTCGTAGGATCCATCAATGCAATTAGGCCCATCCTCAACCAAAACTCATCCGTGTCCTCTTATTAATAAAAAAAAGCAGAGGGCGAGCTTTGAGTCCCATCGCTGTTCCCCAGGCCCAATGATACCTTGGTCAGCAACAATCTGTGGTGGGGGGGCTTTTTATATATGTGATGTTTTTGGTTGGTTACTTTCTTTCCCCCTTTGCCTTCGCAGCGCTCGGTTGCAAAAGAAATTTGGACGTGACCGCCTCTTTTTGGCTCATGGTCTCTGAACAAATTCATCCGTATATATTGAGGGTTTGAGAGTGAAGTGAAGATGAGGCTCACAAATATAGAAGGTGGTTTCTCTGTAGGAGAGTTACAAAATGGGATATAAATGATCTGTGTTGTGTGTTGGAGGAACATATTTTCAACACTTAAAGATCACACAATTTTTTTTTTTTTTTGAGCTGAAAAAACATGGTGAGATACCCTGTTCATAGTAATATATTAAAAAGAACCCAACAAATATACATCACATCCAGATGGAGAAACACAGTAGGAGAAGCGGGTAAGGAGCGGACATTTGTCGTCACCTACCGAACTAATCCCACCGCATTCCTACAGCTAGGAAAAAACCCCCAAAAAAACCTTCACAGCAGATTTTAGAGTGTAGCACACAGGAAACATAACAACTATGATGAAAATAGCTAGCAACAACAAACACTTAAGATCACACATGTTACTTAAAAAGAGATAACTAGTTATGTTTTTGACATACGCAAGTCGAGTTTCGTGCAGTTTCAATCGAATACATTTAAAACGCGTTGTTCGATCGAATGTCGAAGCTGCTCTAACGAGTTGTGGGGAAAATAAAATGACTTCAAGATGGAAGTGTATTGTTCAACGACGGAACTTGAAATTGTGTGATATTGCAAATAAGTTTGTAATCTGTTTCTATGAAGAGTTTTGTGAATAACTCGAAAGGCTTCTGTAGCTTTCTTGAGAATCTTCAGATACTACTGGGAGCTAACAGGAATGGTGCAGCTTCTCACAGGATGATCGAGAAGATGTTTACTGGTAGATTTTAAGGTCATTCCTCTCGGTATTGAAAATAAAAATAAAAATAAAATCAGAGGTACATAAAGGCGATAAATCATCTATACTGCATCAGAGATGAAAGTAGATCAGGGATCTGGAAGCGCATTGATTTCATTTTTATGAGTATAAAGATAAAACATGATTATACCTTCAAAGTAGAAAACACAAATATCCATGTCAAAAATTTGATGACATGATTACAAATCACACCCCTCTACTCTTTTACATACTCCACTCTATTCTTCTCATTATGCTGCCCCCATCTTAAGCTATCATCATCCCCCCAATCCCATACCAAGTAATCATCTCCTTGCAGTTTATATATCTCCCTTACCCCCCTTTAATATAACTTTAATTGAGGGCCCTAATCCTTTTTCTCTTTGGCCCCTCTCTCCCTTTTTTATGCCTAATGATGCGTCTCTCCCCTTTTAGATCCAGGCGCGTTCACAAGCTGAAGGGAGAATATAGTTTACTTTCAGCAAACAAAAGCTTTGTATGTGGGTCTCATCTTTTAGTAAATTTTTTAAAGACATAATAATAGTTCCAGCATTCTGCTAAGATCCAGCTTTGAAAATTGCAGATATGGGGCCATTTGAAGGAAAGTAAACTTGTTTTTTTGCAATCAACCTTTTAAACTAAAAAAAAAAAAATCTTCCCTTGGTCCCATTTCTTCACATTTGAAAAAAAAGGGATCAGTATCTCTAATGAGGAATGTCTAATCAGTAAGTAGAAGAAGACAATTATAAGCTACCCAAAGCAAACGACAACACCAGGTGCACTTAGGAAATTAAGATGGCAATTGAAGGTATAAGTTCTACATTCATAAATGAAATACTACAGAAAAAAGATAATGTTTTCACAAATTTAACTAAAGGACACCAAAATATAGTGGAAAATTTTCAACACATACATGACGAATATGAACAGATGGTGATGATCAGGTGCTATAAATATACATTGCATCTTTACAGTTTCATAGAGCATTAACACAAGCTTATCTGAAAAACTAAGACTCCTTGTCATCCCTGAGCTCCACAACAACGTAGAAAATGTAAACCGATAGAGCTAAACTCTTGCCGTATCTGTGTACTATAAACCAAATCAAAGAGCTTGTGAATAAGAAGGAATTTGGAAAAGAATCAAATGCTGCTGATTGAACTTCTGTTTATCCCATCTAGTTGAAATTCATATGATAACAGGTTGGATTGCAGGGGTATGGACAATCAATATCTTTCACTTCTCTTCTGCCAAAGTACCAATCTCCAACGGCTTCTGCAATTGTCTACTTGGAGGCATGTAACCAGCCAAAGTCAATAGTTTGACACTTATCATAGATATAATGCATTTCAAGAGGTAAAACAATACCAACTACCTTATAGTTGTATAGTCTAATATAAGGCATGCACAAAAAACTGCAGGTACTGAAAAAATGTTGGTAAATTAAATCTAGGTCTTTAGAGGGGCAATAGCAACTACCTTATTATTAATTCTTGGAGATGTTGGAGAATGCCATGTGATGTTATTGGCTGTCTGGCAGTGCATATAGCAAGAATTAATAAACATTCCTGCATCCTTCTTGTGCTGAAATTCACTCAATGCATCAAGCATAGATGTCCTATAGCCTGTTTAAAAAATCATAATAAACTCTGTCTTATAATTATAAAGAAGACATCTTTAATTCCTTAGAACATGCGCAAAGACATTTTAATTGTAAGTAAATTTATGATTATAACCTTGTAGTACGTAGATCTGATTGGAATCACAATGATGAATATTCTTCTTGCACCTCAGCCAGTGTAACTCAGGATCAGATGCTTTTGGTACCAGAATATGTTGTATCTGGAGTATGCTAAATAGTTGGGAATATCAAAACTTGAGAAATATATTTTAAGATAAAAAAAGAAAGTGTAACAGATAAGCACTTACCTGCCAAAAATCATAGCCAGGATTAACAATAAAAAATGGAGTCTTTATTGTCTTGATGAGCTCACGAGGAAAGAAACACTGGAATAAAAAAAAGATTAAGGAAAATGAGGATGCATTTTAAACCAAGACTTTGATATAACTTAGTGGTTGATCCACCAACTGGCCAGTGCAGGCAATGATAACAAGAATCAGATTGAAGGTTTACCTGCGAGGGTTTCGTCCTCTTTGTACACTCATTTGGCAAGTTTCTCCCCACATCCTGAAAACAAATCAATAAGAATGGATGAAAAATGGCTATAGACAATATATGAACACTTACACCAGTATGTACATAGGGCAAACACATATCCATACTTAAATAAGCATGTATCTGCACAATATACATATACATACATACATACATATGTATGTATATGTCTGTTTGTGTATCTGTATATACACAGATCTGTGTGGATAATTCATGGAAGCCTATCTATATGTATGTATGCATGCATGTAGGTATGCATATATGCACATATCTGTGTGAATGATTTGTGCATGCCTGCTGTATATACCACATAGAGAGGAGGTAACATGAAATGTGGGGAGAGGAGGATAAGGGATCTATAAGTTTGAATAACTGAGAGAAAGGATCCCTACAATACTCAATCACAGAGAGATGTTCTGCTCAACAGGAAAACAACAAAGTATATTAAGTTTCCTGCTTCATGGTACTAAGAGAATATAAGAATAAGCCCTTAATCTTGAGAAACAAACAAATAGTTGGAATGAAATAAAAAATAACACACAATCTTCCGTGTGAAAATGGACTGTTAAAGATAAAATAGAGAGGTAAATAACACACCAAATGCAACTGCTTGACTATGACCATGATCTAAATTTGTAGTACCCACAAACATAGTCCCACGTTGAGTGGTGACAAAGATGGGTTCAAATATGAATCTTGAGGTTCAACTAACAACATTGGCTTCTCAATTTTGGCAGTGGATTGAGCCAAACAACATGTTGTACTTAGTTGGTCCCAAGACATATACCGTGCCAACGAGATCATGACCTAGGGTGTGACGCATGGTATCAGATCAGTTAGCCTAACCGAAGTGTGGAAATAAGTGCTATACAAGACTAAGTGATGCACCACGCTCAGGGGGTGGGAGTCACCTCTAGAACCTGTAGGAGCCACCTCTAGATTTCGCATCATATCGTGGTGATCATGAATGGACCATTGTCATGCCGCGACGAGGATGTTGCCTAATTAAAGTGGGGAGATTGTAACACCCCCAGACTTGGTCTCACATCGGGTGTTGACAAAGATAGGGTTCAAATGTTGATCTTGGGGTTCAACTGGCAATATTGGCTAATCAATTTTGACAGCGAATTGAGCCAAATAACATGTTGCACTTAGTGGGTCCCAATACATATACTTCGCCAATGAGATCATGGTTCAGAGGCGCGACAAATGGTATCAGATTAGTTAGCCTACCTAAAGTGTGGAACTAAGTGTTGTACAAGACTTAGCGATGCACCACGCTCATGCAGTGGGAGTCGCCTCTAGGACCTGTTAGAGCCACCTCTAAGATCCGCATCATGTAGTGGTGACCCTAAATGAACTGTTGTCATGCCCAGGGTGGATATATTGTGGGGGCAACTGCCCCCATTGTCCCTAAAGCTTGAAGGAGAATGGCGGAACTGAAAGCCTCATCGATTTTTTTTCTTTTTACCCTGTAACAAAAGGAAGACAAAAGGAAAGAGAGGAAGATTAACATGAACACCTTTTGATGTTTGTTGTTATGTACTATTAATAAAGTTCGTTTACATTTTTCCTTTTTGTAAATGTTGGACTAAAAAAATCACATGAGTGGACTTTGGAGTGTTTGGGCCGTTGGATGTTAGTTTGGCAAAAATGGGAGTATGATTTTTCCCCACCATTTTGTAGAAAGGGATTTTTGGATATTAGCCCCTTAAATCTTTCATATTTTGAAACTAGTCTCTCAAATCATTGAAATTGCTACCTGATCCCCTTATTCTTAAGTTAATTTGAAGTTAGCCCCTCAAATAATTGAAATTGCAATTAGATTCCCTAATTCTTAAGTTATCTTGAAATTAATGTTTCAAATCAAGAGGTGAAGTAGAAATCAGAGGGAATACCAAATAAAATATAGTACTATGGACTATCACATCCACATATTATCATAAGTTGTTTCAAATTAATCCCTCCAATTGATATTTATGCTCTTGATCGGAGAGACTAATTTAGAAATAACTCAAGAATTAGGGGACCTAATTGCAATTTCTATGATTTGAAGGACGAACTTCAAGTTAATTTAAGAACTGAGGGACCTAATAGCAATTTCAGTGGTTTGAGGGATTAGTTTCGGAATATGAAAGATCTAAGTGACTAGTATAAAAAATGCCTAAAATAAAGGGTAGCAAATTAATAGGTGAAAATGCATGGTGAAGATGATTTGAAGATCGAGTTGGATAACTAAGATTGATTATGATTAACAACATAAATTAAAACTAAAAAGAAACAAAACAAAGACAAAGGATGAAAGATGAAAAAATTGGGTTTAATCACATTCACTTATATACTAGTTCTATTTGTAACCTTGCCCCCACTAACTAAAGTTTCTTGATCCGCCCTTGGTCATGCCGCGACGAGATGTCGCCTAATTAAGGTGGGGTGATTGTAATACCCCTAGACTTTTGTCTCACATCGGGTGGTGACAAAGATATTGATGGGTTAGAATGTGAATCTTAGGGGAGGTTATTGGTTAGAACAAATTGGAGCCAAGTGAGAAAATTGTTCAAATGGAACAATTTTACCCCTTTGGGATATTTTGAGTGGGGTAAAGTGGGATAAAGTGGGATAATGGGATAATTTGAGCCTTTGATTTGACAATTCATGTGGGATAATTGATGATGTGGCATTTTATTAAAAAAATAATTTTATCTATTAATTACTTCTAAATTAACTTATCCAATTGGTTTAGTATATTATTTAGTAACTAATTAACATTATATAATAATATAATACATAATATTATTAATATATGTTATTAAAATATTATATATATGTTATTAAAATATTAATATATGTTATTATATAATATTATTAATATATGTTATTAAAATATTATATAATATTATAATAAAACATTTTACTATAATTACCATTATATAATATTATTAATATATGTTATTAAATTATGTTATTAAAATATTAATATATGTTATATTTTATATATCATGTCATATATTTATAATATAATTAGCATGTATTAGTTAAGTAATATAAAAATATTTTAAAATTATCCCAATTGCCTTCAAAGTGGAACAACATTGTTCCAATATGAAGGATGGGGTAAATTTTTACTATTGGGACAAAATTTTTGTATATGAGTGGGGTAATTTTATCCCAAGTGGTGTAATTATCTCACTAGTGTTCCAAAAAACCAATAACCAAGTGGTGTAATTTTATCCTTGTTCTATTGTCCCAATGAATAACACTTTGAAATAGAATCCCCAAAATTATCCCATTATCCCCCAAAATGTCCCAACCAATAACTCCCCCTTAGGGTTCAAGTGGCAACATCGGCTACTCAATTTTGACAGTGGATTGAGCTAAACAATGTATTTCACTGAGTGGCTCCTAAGACTTATATCACGCCAAAGGGCTCATAGACCCGGGGCACGAAAAAATTTCTAGTGCATGTTGGTGATTGGTGCCGATATGAATTTGAGTTCACTGCATATTGCAACACGTTACATGGAATGGAATCATAACTATGGGATACTTGGAAAAAAGATTTAATCTCAACAGTTATGTAGACTATAGCAGATAACTACAAGCCAGCACCATGAAGTGCACAAATACTATCTGCCTAGTAAATAACTCCACCGGAAAGAATTTCTTTTACCAATAAAATTCACAGCAGTTGAGGTTTTTTGGGGAATGGTGAAGAAAATGAGATTTTCTTTACTTCAAGATCTTGTCCTTTACCAGCCATGACGTGATTATTAGCTATGATGGAAAATGCATAACAAGGAAGATTTCAAAGAAGACTTCTAGAAGCCATATGTAACATCAAGCACACCTGCAGTCGGACAACTTCGTTATAGAAAGACTGCATGGTTCTTTTCCCAGAAATATCCTTTCTGCAATACAAGATATGAGACAAAATTAATGGGATCTCTTCAATGAAAGCAGAGGAGAACCTCCTAGGCTAAGTGCGTAAAGAAGATATCAAGTTGAATCTACTGTTCTTTTCCAGCTATCAAGCGTTGAATTACAATATTAAAATTTACTTTCTGCATGTCCATCACTATATTTGTGATGGAAATCTTGTCTATTATGAGAACTTTCTTGCAAGATAAAAGGCTTTGTCGTTGGTAAATAATGAATACCTTAAAGTACTTTCAAATTTTAATTCAAAACCAGAGTCAAAAATAGTATTCGCACTTAATTCATTGCATTTATAACATGAACAATAGGTCTTTAACAAGTTAAAAGGTGAAGGGGAAGTCAGATTACATTTAGGCTTTACTAGATTGTGCTCGAGCGTAAATAGTTAAACCGATTTGACATCACCTCTTGGAAACAAGCCTATACTTCTCCTGAAAGCAATAGATAATGACCTCCATCAGAATATATATTAGGGGTTTTTGTCTTACAACTCAAAGGTTCACCCTGATTTATCTTAATACCCAAGTAGTTCTATTGGTACCTATAAACCCAAACAACGGTATTTATCTTTAAACCAAATAGCACAATACAACATTAAAGTAGATTGTTTTTCGTATTTTTAAGGGAAAAAACAGAAAATGCCATTGTTTACTAGAAACCCAACCCATGAAGAATGGCTCCCTCTCTCCCCCTCTGCTCATGTTCTCTATCTTAGATGATACGGGTGTATTTTCTTCCTTGTTTCAAGAGTTTAGCGATCATCATGGGAGCTTGAGGATAGATGATTCTCATGGTAGCTTGATAATAGAAGCGTGGGCGGAACCGTTAGTGGCGGCGAAAACAGTCAAAAGTAGAAAAACAGAGGAAATCAAGAAGCTAGAGAATCAGGCCATGGCCGGTCGACCGAAGGGATGACATCGGTCGACCACGGAAGCAAAACCGATCAACCAATCGCTCATCGTCGGTCGACCGAAAACGGATACCTTACAGGGCCCGAAAACCTATTTTTGGTCGGTCGACCGAACTAGGCATGTCGGTCGACCGACGGAGTTTTCCTGGGCCAAATTGGATTCTGTTTTGGGACGAATTCTAGTTGGGTTTGACTTGGATATTTACCACTTTGCCATCCACGTTGTTTAACCTATAAATATGGATTGTTTAGGGTTTCTAAACATCAGATTATTAGAGGAGAGATTCTAATCAAGATATTAGAGTTTAATGAGAATAGAGAAGTTCTTTATTCTAGAGAGATTGTGAGAGAGAGATTTTGTAATCTTTTATTCTTCATAATCTAGAGAAGATATTTTCCTTCGCAAATTGAATTGTCTTATGTGTTCATGTTTTTTTCTTTTCATCTACACCTTTGATAATTTCGCGATCAAAGGTGTTCGCTCGACGACTCGTATTAAGTTGGTATCAGAGCCTTCAGATCCTGTGAAGGGGGTATCATGTGCATGGTCCTTACTCGATCGCAATACAAGAAGCTAAGCGAGATCCTTATTTCTTTGGAAGAGGTCCAGAAATCAAGGAAGAAGAAGATGGCGGATAACGACAACCCAACGAGGCTTGATGCATTGGAGAAACAGATCGAAACAATCAGGTCGACTCTCACACAACTCGTCGATCTCATTCACGGAGGGAACAAACAGGGGGAATCTTCTTCGAAATCCAAGAAGAAACCTGTAGAGTCCCGTGAGGAGAGTGAAAATTCAGATTCCGATGAGGAGGTCGAGGCCGTCAGGGCTGTTTCACATCAATAGGGTAAGGGTTCTTACCAAAATCTGAAGATTGATTTCAGAGTAGAGATCCCTATTTATGATGGAAGTGTTAACGTCGAAAGACTTGATGATTGGATCGAGCGTATGGAGACTTATTTCATTCTTTATGGCTATTCGTCAAAGAAGAAGATTGTTTTTGCGACATTGAAGCTATCCGGACACGTATTGATGTGATGGAAATCCTACTGCAAGCAGTAGAAGAAAGCGGTATCATGGAACAAGTTCAAGGAGCTACTGAGGAAGCAGTTCTACCCGGTGGGTTTTCTTGAAGAGCGTTGGTACAAGTGGTACGGCTCGCGCCAAAGGTTCAATCAAACTGTTTAAGAATACACCACGGAGTTCCAGCAGCAGACGATGGCCCTTAACATCGCAACGGACGAGTACTCTATTTTCATGAAGTATATGACGGGTCTGAACGAATATATCCGGAATGAGATGAAGCTGTTCATGGTTAAGTTGATTACAGAGACGAGCGTGAAGGCTATTGCCATTAAGGGCAAACAAAAGAAGAGCAACGAGACGAAGGAAGAAGCTAAGCAAGCTGGAGGCGAGTCTAGTGGTTCCCAACCTAAGAAAAAAAAGAAGGATGATCCAGGGAAAACAGGATTGATTTGTAGTCATTGCGAGTAGACATGACATATTATTGATCAGTGTTGGGAGAAGTATCCTCATCTCAAACTAAAAGGGTTGAAGAAGAGGGAGAAAAAGACATACGTGATAGCATAAGGTCCGAAAGAAGTCTCATGGATGACAGAACCCAACAGCCTTAACCTTATAGCATGAAAACAAGCCGCGAAGGAGGATAAAGACCCTAGAGAGCAACTCTTTGTTTTTAAGTTGCAGGTGAAGACCAGCTTGGTTGATGCCATAATTGATTCAGACAGTTAGAAGAATTTGATATCCAAGGTCTTGGTTCAGAAGCTGGGTCTGAAGACAGTCAAGCATGCAAAGCCCTATCCATTGGGGTGGATTCAGAAGAAGACGGGACTGAGTGTGGTTAATCAATATACTTTCAGATTTACACTCCACGAGTCGTATATTGACGAGGTCACGTGCGACGTAGTTCTATTGGATGTTTATCAGGTTATACTGGGCAATCCGTATTTGTGGCATAGATACGCAATCTACGAAAGACGGGCTCAGAAGTACACATTCACCAAAGACGGTGAGAAGTTCATATTTCGTTCGGCATCTCTTCCAAAGGAGACAAACTTAGTGACGATGAACCGAACAAAGATGCTAGTGAATGCAAGTAAGAAGTTTGTCTCGGTGTTCATTAAGCTTTATGAAGAGCCACTGAAAGAGGATTACAATTTGGAACGAAAGGTGACTACGACTAGACGGGGGACGAAGGAGTTATTTCTGATTGGACGTCAAGGTCAGGCTCCTAGCAAAGTCAAATAGTTCAATAGGGAAGGAGGAGCTTAAGAGTTTCCCCAGCTGAAGTTCTAACTTGAACGAGAGTTCAAGTTCCTAAGGGGGGAGCCATGATACGGGTGTATCTTCTTCCTTGCTTCGGGAGCTTAACGATCCTCATGGGAGCTTGAGGATAGATGATTCTCATGGTAGCTTGAGAATAGAATCGTGAGCGAAACCGTTGGTGGCGGCGAAAACGGTCAAAAGCATAAAAACAGAGGAAATCAGGAAGCTGGAGAATCAGGCCCTGGCCAGTCGATTTAAGAGATGACATCGGTCGACCGCGAAAGCAAAACCGATCGACCGATCGCTCATTGTCGGTCGACCGAAAACGAATACCTTACAGGGTCTGAAAACCTATTTCTGGTCCGTCGACCGCCAAGGTTTTCCTGGGCCAATTTGGATTATGTTTTGGGACGAATTCTAGTTGGGTTTGACTTGGGTATTTACCACTTTACCACCCACGTTGTTTAACCTATAAATAGGGATTATTTAGGGTTTCTAAAAATCAGATTATCAGAGGAGAGATTCTAATCAAGAGATTAGAGTTTAATGAGGATAGAGAAGTTGTTCTTTATTTTAAAGAGATTGTGAGAGAGATTTTGTAATCTTTTATTCTTCATAATCTAGAGAAGGTATTTTTCTTCGCCAATTGAATTGTCTTGTGTGTTCCTATTGTTTTCTTCTCATCTACACATTTGATAATTCTGCGATCAAAAGTGCTCGTTCGATGACTCGTATCATTAGAATTGATCCACCTCAACTCTCTCTCCCTCTCTCTCAATTCTAGAACCACCCAGGAACTATTTCCTCCTCCAGTTTTGAAAAGTTGTTTTCTTCTTTATTCCCCAACTCTTGAAATAAAAAGAGCCTAACTTAAGCTACCAAACAAATTAACGGAACCTCAATAGTGTGGACTGTGGAGCCCACAACCAACCAAACGAATCCAAGTACAAAGAGCCTACACGTTGTATCCAAGATATCTACACAAGATCATCACTGAGTGGATGAATTGCCTTAACTAACAATAATTTTTGTTTATGGCTNTATAACCGACATCAACTTTCACCGTCTTGAGCCATAATATTATATTTAACTCCCATAATTATCTTAACAACAAATAAATAGCAATTAAATAACTAATCAGTAACTAATATTATCATTTCCCTTAAAAAATTTATTAAAAAAGGGTTTTTGCCTTTATACCCGAAGTTTTACTCTTATTTATTTTTAAACCCAAGTACTATTATTTGTACCTATAAACACGAAAGTATAACATGAAAACACTTAAAAGTGTAGCAGGAAAAAAACACAACTATAGCAAGTATTTTTAAGAGCATAACAGGACAACACAAATGCAGTAGGCATTGATCAAAGTGTAGCACGTACTTCTGAAAATATAGCAGATATTACTAAAAATATAACAGGAATTGCTCAAAGTGTATAATGTATTTTTGAAAGTTTAGCAGTTATTGCTGAAAGATAACACTGAAAGTATAGCAGGAAAAGACACAAGTGTAGCAGGATAAAACACAAGTGTAGCAGGAATTGCTGAAAGTATAGTCGATATTTTTGAAAGTATAGCAGGTATTGCTGGTATTTCTGAATGTGTAGCAAGATAAATACAAGTGTAGCGGTATTATTGAAAGCATAACAGATAAACACATTAATATATAACTAGACCAAAGGAAATTAGATCAGACATATCAATCATATTACATTAATACATCATGACCTTGTCATCGTCATATAAACGCATTAATATATAATTAGACCAA